TAAGTACTGGAGGCCGGTGCCAGCCGAAACTTGGCCGGCAGCGACGGCTTCACAGCTTTGACAAACGCATCGGTTCAAGGTCATGTCGACGTCGTGCAGTTGTTGCTGGAAGCCGGTGCTGACAAGAATGTGCCCGACAGCAGCGGTTTCACGGCTTTGACGGCCGCGTCTGTTCAAGGTCATGTGGAAGTCGCACGCTTGCTGCTGGATTCCGGTGCCGACAGGAACTTGCCCGGCATGAGCGGCCTTACACCTCTGACGTCTGCATCATCGCAAGGTCACGTGGACATCGTGCGCTTGCTGTTGGAGGCAGGTGCCGGTGCAGACATCGCCGACAACAATGGCTCGACAGCTTTGACGACAGCATTACAGAATGGTCATATCGAAGTTGCGCGCTTGCTGTTGGAGGCCGGTGCCGACAAGAATTTGGACTGCCACGGCGGCTTCACGGCTTTGACGTCCGCATCTCTGCAAGGTGATGTGGAAGTCGTACGCTTTCTGTTGGACTCCGGTGCCGACAGGAACTTGTGCAGCTTGAACGGCTTCACACCGTTGACGTCCGCAGCATCGCAAGGTCATACGGAAGTCGTGTGCTGGCTGTTGCAGGCAGGTGCCGACAAAGACATGGCTGACGGCAATGGTTCGACACCTTTGATTGCAGCCTCATTGAGTGGCCACATCGAAGTTGTGCGAGCGCTGTTGAAGGCAGGCGCCGACGGGTACTTGCGGGACAGCAGTGGCATGACACCACAGCAGATGGCCTCGATGGAAGGTCATGTCGAAATAGTGCGTTTACTGAAGAAAAAACACAAGGACTTATGATTGCGCCTGTGAGGGCACGGCAATCGGCCAAAGCTTTATCAAAGCAAGCGTCAAAGAGGTCTTAAGAGAACTGTCGCAGGTGTGTCTTAAATCGCCGATGATCAGACATCCATTGTCGGCATACACAGCAGTGATTTATGATTTCAGATTTCATTCTTGAGGCCCTCCTGTGATTTAGGCGCCGAAAACAAGGCCGATGTGCCACCCGTGGAACAGCTCTCAAGCAGCCGAGTTCTTTGCAAGAAGGGGCTCGGGCTCATCTCAACTACTTAAAGGATCATGGGACTTAGTAAGTAGGGTTTAGGGTTTAGGGTGTAGGGTTTAGGGTGTAGGGTTTAGGGTTTAGGGTTTAGGGAACCCTACTTAAAGGATCATGGGACATAGTAAGTAGGGTTATAACTAAGGTAACTATAGTGATATTTACCTTAAAACCCCAATTGAGGGGCTTATAACCTTACTTACTAAGTCCCATGATCCTTTAAGTAACCTTCTGGATGGCAGCATTGGAACCTCGGGCAGCGATTCTTGCTCCTGTGCCGAAGAGATCTTGAGCTTTAAGCCAGTCCGATCCTGCGTATCCTTGAGCACCAACACGGACCCTGAAAGGGGTTTATGGTTCCCACCCCTTATTGAATACAAGCCCTCAGCCACAAACGCTACACCCTAAACCCTAAACCCCTAAACCCCAAGCCCTAAATCCTAAACCCTGAACCCTAAACCCCCAAACCCTAAACCTGAAGCCCTAAACCCTCAGAGTTTCTGCTTTGGAGGCCCCATTACCTTTGCTGCTGAAGGATTCTGCTGGTCCGATGTCTCTCCAGCTAAGCGGGGCTGAGGGTTTTCAACCCAAATCCGGAGGTCGTTTTCGCAAAGCCGTAAACTAAACCCTCAAGACAGAACCCTGCACCCTGAAGCCAAAAACCCTAAACTACGGTTTATGGTATAAATCCTGCATTACCCATAATCAGGAATGTGCCATAATTCTCATAGTTTAGGGTCCTTAAGGTAATGCAGGTCTATATCATCAACAGTAGTTGCAACAGATGCCTTAACCAACAAGAAGCGCCCAATAACCTTTGACCCTAACCCCTAAACCCTAAACCCTTTAAGGGTTGTGTTGCGGTACCTGGTAATCCTGCAAACAACTTTTTTCAGGCCGCATAATGATTTGTAGGGCCTTCTTGTGCCCAATCCCCCCCTAGCTGGCCCACGTTTAGGGTTTGGGGTCTACTTAGAGGGACATGGGACTTAGTAAGTAGGGTTATAATTAGGGTAACTATACGTACAACCCGAATTAAGGGACCTATAACCGCACTTACTAAGTCCCATGATCCTCCAAGTAGGGTTTGGGGTCTAGGGTTCAGCGCTAAGGGTGTATGCTTTTCCATCCTCATACCCCTATGCCGAAAACCTAGAGATGTTCCTAACTTTAAGTTCCAGGCCCTAAACCCTAAACCCTAAACAAACATTGCGGGTGAGAAGCCCTGAGCAGAATCAGCAGGACATTGTGGAGTGTCCGCAGCTGGAGGGGTTAGGCATCGATCTCCGTGCCTCTTGGCTAATGTTTAAGGGTTGAGGGTTTTAGGGTGTCGGGTTTAGGGTTTAGGGTTTAGGTTTTAGGGTTTTAGGGTTTAGGGTTTAGGGTTTAGGGTTTAGGGTTTAGGGTTGGGTTTCTGGGTCTGTTGAAGGCCTGAACCTCAACAAAGCGTACTTGGAGGATCCGGGGACTTAGTCAGTAGGTTTGTGAGCACCTTAATTGGGGTGGGTATACCCATAGGCCCCATAGTAGTCCCTTTTGGGGCTCATATTCACATTTAGAATCCTATAAGGTAACCCCCAAAAGGAACTACTATGGGGCCTATGGGTAGTTGCTAGGCCCCAGGATCCTCCAAGTACGGTTACCGGTTCAGGGTGCGTGGTTCTGGCGTCTCCTGAGGATGCTCTACCTGGAGGATCATGAGACTTAGTAAGTAAGGTTGTAAGTCCCCGAATTGGGGTTATAAGTAGAGTTACCTTACTTATAACCCTACTTACTAAGTCCCATGATCCTTTAAGTAGGGTTCCCT